ATATATATATATATATATATATATATATATATATATATATATATATATATATACATATATATATACATATATATATATATGTGTGTGTTCCATACTATATATATGTGTGTATACACACACACAAACATATATGTATGGATGTATTGTATTATTGTATACGCATATGTAAATATATACGCATGTACATATATGAATATACCAAAAAGAGCAAAATTAAGAAAGAGGCGAGGAGAAAGGAGAGCGCTCCTTCGCCCTCCTCTCTCGCAGCCTCCCTCAGCAGGCAATACATCCTGGTTGCACTCTCAGGCGCCGTTGCAATGCACACGCTAAAAGGAAGAAGAGTAAAAAAGAAAAAAAAAAATAGAGGGCGTATTTGTTGCCTGAAAAGTGACACGGCATCTTGATAATAATGAGGAGAGAGAGACGGCTTTATTCTCATGCTAACCTGGCTTTTCGTTTTCCTCATGATGCAAAAGTTGGATTTTTCTCACTCATTTTTTTTAAACATTTCCCTTTATTTGTTCGTCCAAAGGCCTTTCACGTGTTTCATTTTGATGATGAAGCGTGGGAGGGATGATTATGCATGTATTAGAGACCCGAAAATAGTGAACGCTCGCGAAAATACATTGCAAACAAGCAAGCAAGCACACTGCCAATAGCACCAAACATAATTATGAAGTTGAGAAAGGAAAACACGCGATTATGTCTATTCTTTTGTTTTCTTTCTTTGCTTTATTTGCATTTTCTTATACATGAATCCTTCGCAACAAGTAAACATTTTTACATTTGTATCTTTAAGAGTTACAAACAAGCAAATGGACACACAAAAAAACATGGCGTTGATCTTCCTAATATGTTCATATCTATAATCTGAGCAGATTAGAGATTCAAGCATCTTTTCATAGAATTCAGGTTTTTCTTCTTTTTTTCTAAATTCTTGATATCAATCTATGTTCTGCAACCTTTTTTCTGTTGTTGTTGTTTTGCGAACTGGAGTCTGGAATCCGGAGAATGGATTAACTTGAACTATATATCATATTGTCACTTTTTTTCCGATGCCTTTTCCCTGCCACTTGCCCTCCCCCCTCCCCCCCTTCTTCACGCAAACTGAATGCAATCGTGCTGAATTTCGCTGAATGGTTGTCGTGGTCTGAATTCTGGGGAGAATGAGCTTGTCATGTCATGTAAATTCATGCTATGGTATTTGTAATGTCGATTTGCATTACAGGATCTTGCCGTTTGTATCTTGTTGTTATTGTTTGAGTTAAAGTTTAAAGTGCATGTTAAGATTAAGTTATTGAGGCTGAAATTAATCTAAATGATGATGATGATGTTGTAGATATTGTTGCTGTAGGTGTTGTGGATGTAAAGGATTTGGTTGTTGCCAGAGATGCTGTGGATGATGTTGAAATATCCTTGGCCTACTTATTCCAAAGAACTGGATCCAACACTATTCCTCCCTTTTGTTAATATGAGATAGAGAAATCAATAAGTCAAATTAAATAAAGATCTAGAAATAGGAAAGAGAGACAGGTGAAATATAAAAGAAATAAATGAAGAAGTAAAAACAAGAAGGATTGATTGGAGAAATGATGAAGAAACATCAATAAAGAATAAATAAAAGAAAAATCAATAATGAAAAAATAGATAGACAAATCAAATTATTATTGTCATTGTTATCATTATTATTATCAATATTATTATTATTACTATCATCATTATTATTGTCATTATTTTTTTTATTATCATTATCATTATTATTATTGTTATTATTATTATCATTATTATTACTATTATTATTATTATTATTGTTATTATTATTATTATTATTATTACTGTTATTGATATTATCATTATTATCCTTTTTTGTTATTATCATTATCTTTATTATTATCATTTTTATTATCATCATTATCTTTATTATTATCATTATTATTATTATCCTCATTATTATCATTATTACTGGTTTCATCGTAGGTTTAAAGTGGACCTAATTTCGCTTCAAAATCAAACGCTACTTCGAATCCACGAAGAAGCACGTTGGAAATTATTTTCGATGTGGTGATGAATTTACCTGCTAAATGGTTATTACGTATATGTATATATATATATATATATATATATATATATATATATATATATATATATATATATATATATATATATATATATAGATACACACACACACACACACACACACACACACACACACACACACACACACACACACACACACACACACACACACACACACACACACACACACACACACGCATACACATATATATGTGTGTATGTATATGTGTGTGTGTGTGTGTGTATTAAGGTAATAATGATAATGATAATACTTCATTTCCCATCTTCGCCATTCTCCATCTTCCTTCTCTTTGATCTTTCTCGGTCTCTGTCTTTTTTTCATCCTTGCAATACTTTCCACGTCCTTCTTAAACCCCCCAAGGCATCTTTCTCACCCCCCGCAGATAAATAATAAAAACAGATC